CCTTGAGCCAAAGGAAAAAAAAAGCGCAGGGACAGCGCCCAGGCCTTGAGTTCAAGCCCTAGGATTGGTGTTAAAAACCAAACAGAAGATTTTGAGGTGCCCCCAGCCTCCAGCACCCACTGAGGCCTGGCTATTTCTCTTCCCTTTTCCTGGAAAAGAGGAAGTGCAGAGTCTCCAGTAAAACAAATTCCCCCGCTGCCAGCAGGCCGAGAGGAAGGGGGAAAGAAAACACAAAGAAAAGGCTGCCCTGCGTCTCAAAAGCCACCGAGCCAGACGGAAAAGAAAAACACCAGAGACAACCGCAGAGGACAAACGGTTAGGGAAACTGAGTCCTCACTCTCCTGTGGCCAAGTTTGGTGCCCCCCCCGCCCCCCCAGGACAGGGGGAGCCGGCCGGCGCTCCAGCCGTGATGCACATCTCTGAGCCCTTCTGTGCAGGGCTGGTTCCTGGGCCGGGGTCACGCTGACCTGCTGCAGGTCGGCCTCGGGCATCGATCCTCCGGCCTCGGCCTCCCAGGTGTCTGAGGTCTGAGCTCACCTCCCACACACCCCGCAGCCTCCCGGAGACGCACAGGACGGAGGTCCTGACCCGCACAGCCCTCGTCTCCCATTCGGGCTCCCTCAGCTCCTTCATTGTATGGTATGGTATTTTTTTTTTGGTCGGTCCTGGGACTTGAACTCAAGGCCCGGGCGCTGTCCCTGAGCTCTTTCACTCAAGGCTGGTGCTCTACCACTTGAGCCACAGCTCCACTTCTGCTTTTTGCTGGTTCATTAAGAGTCTCACAGTCTTTCCTGCCCGGGCTGGCTTTGAACTGCGATCCTCAGCTCTCAGCCTCCTGAGTCGCTGGGACGGCAGGCGTGAGGAGGAGGAGGAGAGGGAGGAGGGGAAGGAGGAGGAGGAGGAGGGAGAAGAGGAGGGGGAGGAGGAGGAGGAGGAGGAGGAGAAAGTCTGACCAGCTCAGACTAAAAATAAGTTCCCCAGACCCCATCTCAACAGATAAGGCTGTGGCCGGTCCCCAGACCCCATCTCAACAGATAAGGCTGTGGCCGGCGGCGTCTGCCTGCGGGGGCAAAGCTGTCTTTCCTGTTCTCACTGGGTGCAGAGCTCTCCTGGCCTGCTTTGTCCAGAAGAAGGCCTGGGGCTTGTTCCTGTGTGACCCTTGCGCACACGTGCGCGCGCACACACACACACACACACACACACACACACACACAACTGAGTGTAACTGGGCTGAAATCCGTGTCGCTGTAGAAACGGACAACCGGGCAATGAAGGAGAAGCTCCCCACCAAATCCTTATTACTATTATTGCTATTGTTATTATTTTTGTGTCAGTCCTGGGTCTTGAACTCAGGGCCTGGGCGCTGTCCCTGAGCTCTTTCACTCAAGGCTGGCGCTCTACCACATGAGCCACAGCGCCACTTCCGGTTTCCTGCTGGTTCACTGGAGATCAGAGGCTCACGGCCTTTCCTCGATCCTCTAGCTCTCAGCCTCCTGAGCGGCTGGGGGCCCCCGGCTAGCAGCAGCTGTGTGTGCTCAGAAGATGGGGACGAATTTTATCACGTTGCCCACCTGCCGCCTGGCTTCCTCGCGCATCGGAGCACGGGCCCTGGAAACATCTGGAGAGTTGCTTGGTTGTCGGGTGGATTCGAGTTCATTCTCCAAACAGATGTTTTCCACCCCGGCAGGGCGGGAGAAATACATGGATTGTTCATGTGGAGTGCGTTTGGTGCAAAAGAAAAACAACCCAGGAAAATAACTCCCCCCACCAACACCAAACAACAACACCAACAACAATAACAATAACAGGGCCCCATAAAACCAGCCGCTTACGCTTGGGGTTTGCAAAGTCGGTGCTTCACCTCCACCGCTGCATCCTGACGGCTCCCAAGCAAGAGGAAAACCAGATTTTAAAAGGCAAGGCTGAAGCCGGGCACTGTAGCACATGCCTGTCATCCCAGCTACCTCAGGAGGCTGAGATCTGGAGAGGATCGCGGTTTGAGGCCAGCCCAGGGCAGGAGAGTCCGTGAGACTCTCATCTCCAAAAAAGCTGGAAGTGGCGCTGTGGCTCAAGTGGTAGAGCGCCAGCCTTGAGCAAAAGAGCTCAGGGACAGCGCCCAGGCCTCAAGTTCAAGCCCCAGGACTCACACACACACACACACACACACACACACACACACACACCCTCAAAAGAAAATTCTAGTCTGTTTTTCCCAAGACCTCAGGGGACGCCCGAATTGGCAGGAGCCTGGGGAGCAAACAAAGGCGGAGGTCAGCCCGGAGTCCTGAGACTCGTTCCGGCCTGGTTGTTGAAGAAAGAGAACTTTCTCGCACTGAGCATTGGGTCAGAGTCCCCCGGGAGCGCTGGGACTCGCTCCTGTCAGCCAGCCAGCGAGCACCGGAAGAGGAGTCTGTCCAAGCCGGGTCGGACATGCTTTTCCCGCTGCCAACTGGCCCGGCCTTCTCGCATACAGATGCGCTGGGCCCTCTGGAAAAAACCATCTTTGTACACGCCTGTCATCCCAGCTACTCAGGAGGCTGAGACCTGAGGATCGCAGTTTGAGGCCAAACCCAGGCAGGAAAGTCTGTGAGCCTCTTATCTCTCCAATGAACCAGCCAAAAACGAGCAAGATGCGGGGCTGTGGCTCAAGTGGTAGAGCGCCGCTGGCCTGGAGTGAAAGAATCTGAGTCGGCGCCCAGGCCCTGAGTTCAAGCCCCAGGACTGGCACCAAACCGCCTCCTCAGGAGCCCCGTGTGGCCGGGATTACAGGCTGGTCGCACACAGCCTGCCTCTTGGCCTTCTGAGGCCTCCTTCATTGGACACTGACTTAGTGCTCCTCTCAGAGGATCTTCGGTCCTGACTAGGATGGGGTCCCCACACCCCCATTTCCTACATGACCCCCGTCCTGGTCAGCCCTTTCTTAAGGTTTTCCCCGCTCCACACCCCCACAGACACCCCCTTCTCATCTTAAACAGCAACACCGTGGCTGGGTGGCCTGGAAATCTAATGGCCGCGTCTCGGGTGCTCAGCTCGCAGGTGAGGATGCAGTGAGGTCCGGGTGTCTGCGTGGGGCCGAGGGGCCAGCACCCAGCTCGGGGCCAGCCCAGCACCCAGCTCAGGGCCAGCCCAGCACCCAGCCCCCGGGGCCAGCCCAGTACCCAGCTCGGGGCCAGCCCAGCACCCAGCTCCCCAGCCCAGCCCAGCACCCTGCTCAGGGCCAGCCGGCACCCAGCTCCCCAGCCCAGCCCAGCACCCAGCTCCCCAGCCCAGCCCAGCACCCAGCTCCCCAGCCCAGCCCAGCACCCAGCCCAGGGCCAGCCGGCACCCAACCCCCGGGGCCAGCCTGGCACCCAACCCCCGGGGCCAGCCCAGCACCCAGCTCAGGGCCACCCAGCACCCAGCTCCCCAGCCCAGCCCAGCACCCAGCTCCCCAGCCCAGCCCAGCACCCAGCTCAGGGCCACCCAGCACCCAGCTCCCCGGCCCAGCCCAGCACCCAGCTCCCCGGCCCAGCCCAGCACCCAGCTCCCCGGCCCAGCCCAGCACCCAGCTCCCCGGCCCAGCCCAGCACCCAGCTCCCCAGCCCAGCACCCAGCTCCCCAGCCCAGCCCAGCACCCAGCTCCCCAGCCCAGCCCAGCACCCAGCCCAGGGCCAGCCGGCACCCAACCCCCGGGGCCAGCCTGGCACCCAACCCCCGGGGCCAGCCCAGCACCCAGCTCAGGGCCACCCAGCACCCAGCTCCCCAGCCCAGCCCAGCACCCAGCTCCCCAGCCCAGCCCAGCACCCAGCTCAGGGCCACCCAGCACCCAGCTCCCCGGCCCAGCCCAGCACCCAGCTCCCCAGCCCAGCCCAGCACCCAGCTCCCCAGCCCAGCCCAGTACCCAGCTCCCCAGCCCAGCACCCAGCTCCCCGGCCCAGCACCCAGCTCTGGGCCAGCCCAGCACCCAATTCCCCGGCCCAGCCCAGCACCCAGCTCCCCGGCCCAGCACCCAGCTCCCCAGCCCAGCACCCAGCTCCCCGGCCCAGCACCCAGCTCCCCAGCCCAGCACCCAGCTCCCCGGCCCAGCACCCAGCTCCCCAGCCCAGCACCCAGCTCCCCGGCCCAGCACCCAGCCACCCAGCTCTGGGCCCAGCACCCAGCTCCCCGGCCCAGCACCCAGCTCCCCGGCCCAGCACCCAGCCACCCAGCTCTGGGCCCAGCCGGCCTGCGTGGGTTCCAGTCTCCTGGGGGGAGGGAGGTGACACTTGCTGGGTTTTCTTCCCTCTGTGGGAAGAAGCCAGTGATCATCCTCCTGCATGCATTCATTCATTCCCTGCATGCATTCATTCATTCCCTGCATGCATTCATTCATTCCCTGCATGCATTCATTCATTCAGCGCCAAGACACATCCTTCCCACAAAGAACCCAGTGACCGCGTTCACTCCTCCCCCTCCCCTCCCCCCTCCCCCCTCCCCCCTCCCCCCTCCCCCCCTCCCCCTCCCCCCCCTCCCCCCTCCCCCCTCCCCCTCCCTCCCCCTCCTCCCCCTCCCTCCCCCCACTTCCGGTTTCTGCCGGCTCCTGGCAGGTGGGGTCTCTCGGGCTTCCGGCCCGGCCCGGCCTCGAACCGCGATCCCCGGGTCCCCCGAGCTGACCACCGGCCCCGGGCGCCCAGGGACCCACGCCCCACCTCCCCGCGGTGCCCGGATGGCCGACCGAGGCCCGGATGGACGGAGCGCGGGGCCCGGGTGCCCGCAAGACCCGGATGGTGGACTGAGGCCCGGATGGACGGGAGCGCGAGGCTCGGGTGCCCGCAAGACCCGGATGGCGGGTCGAGGCCCGGATGGACGGGAGCGCGGCTCTGCGCACGCGCGGGCCTCGGCCGCCGGCGGCCAGCGCCAGGCTCCGGCCGCTCAGCCAGGCGGTGCGGGTCCACGCCGGGCCGAGACCCGGACCCGGACCCGGACCCGGACCCAGACCCGAGACCCGGACCCAGACCCGAGACCCGAGACCCGAGACCGCGGGACCCCGCGCTTCCCCCCGACGCCGCCGCCCGGGCCGCGGCTCCGAGGTAAGAGCCCGTCCCGAAGGCGGCGCCCCGATCCCCGCCCGGACTGCCCCGATCCCCACCCCGAGCGCCCCGATCCCCACCCGGACTGCCCCGATCCCCACCCCGAGCGCCCCGATCCCCGCCCGGAGCGCCCCGATCCCCACCCCGAGCGCCCCGATCCCCACCCCGAGCGCCCCGATCCCCACCCGGACTGCCCCGATCCCCGATGCACCCCGATCCCTAACTTCCCGGGCTGCCCCGATCCCCACCCGGACCGCCCCCGATCCCCACCCCGGGCTGCCCCCGATCCCCACCCGGACCGCCCCCGATCCCCGATGCACCCCGATCCCCACCCCGGGCTGCCCCGATCCCCACCCCGGGCTGCCCCCGATCCCCACCCGGACCGCCCCCGATCCCCGATGCACCCCGATCCCCACCCGGGCTGCCCCCGATCCCCAATGCGCCCGGAGCCCCACCAGCAGTGCGCCCCGAAAGCTCACGCCCTGCGCCCCGCCGCTGCCCACACCCCGAGTCCCGGAGACCCTCGCGCGGGGCCCGGGGGGGGGCAGTCCACGATGGGACCCCCGCCCCCCTGCTCCCCGCCCCCCCCAGCCCCCCTGCCCCCCCGCCCCCCAGCCCCCCTGCCCCCCCCGCCCCCCTGCTCCCCGCCCCCCCGCCCCCCCAGCACCCCTGCTCCCCGCCCCCCCCGCCCCCCCCCCCGCCCCCCTGCCCCGCTCCCGCTCCCGAGGCTCCCCAAAGTTGTAACGTCTGCTCAAAGTGACCCTGGGAAAGCCGAGCCCGGCCGCTGCGGATGCTATTGGGGGACCCCACCCCCCGTGAATGGAGCGGGCGGCTCCTTCACCCCGAGACCCTTCCTATGCGCTGCACCCAGCCCCCTGCACACCCCCCCCCCCGCACCCCAGCTCCCCCGCACCCCACGTCTCCCCTGCACCCCAGCCCCCGCACCCCAGCCCCCCGCACCCCACGTCTCCCCTGCACCCCAGCTCCCCGCACCCCAGCCCCCCGCACCCCAGCCCCCCGCACCCCACGTCTCCCCTGCACCCCAGCCCCCCGCACCCCAGCCCCCCGCACCCCAGCCCCCCGCACCCCAGCCCCCCGCACCCCACGTCTCCCCTGCACCCCAGCTCCCCGCACCCCAGCCCCCCGCACCCCAGCCCCCCGCACCCCACGTCTCCCCTGCACCCCAGCCCCCCCGCACCCCAGCCCCCCGCACCCCACGTCTCCCCTGCACCCCAGCCCCCCCGCACCCCAGCCCCCCGCACCCCAGCTCCCCGCACCCCAGCCCCCCGCACCCCAGCCCCCCGCACCCCAGCCCCCCGCACCCCACGTCTCCCCTGCACCCCAGCCCCCCGCACCCCACGTCTCCCCTGCACCCCACGTCTCCCCGCACCCCACGTCTCCCCTGCACCCCACATCTCCCCTGCACCCCATCCTGCCCCCTCCCCAGTCCTCCCCCCTCCCCAGTCCTCCCCCCTCCCCAGTCCTCCCCCCTCCCCAGCCCCCCCTGCTCCCCAGTTCCCCCCTGCACCCCTGGATCAGCCCCAGAGCCTCACCCCGGTCCCGGGGGGGGGCCCTCGCTGTTAGGGCCTGAGGGGGCTGGGACCCCCCCAGTGTGTGTGAGTGTGTGAGTGTGTGTGTGTGAGTGTGTGTGTGAGTGTGTGTGTGAGTGTGTGTGTGTGAGACCCATGGTTCAAAGGCGTGCGTGTGTCTCGGGTCACACGGGTTGTCTGTGCGCTCAGGCTCACCTGGTCACTTGTGTCAGTTTGGGGGAACCCAGCTCCCCCAAGGCCGCCTCCTGTTCCCACAAAGTGAGGCCGGGACCGCGTTGTGTGGTTGTTGTGGTCATTGTGTCGGGCCTGGGTCTTGAACTCAGGGCCTGGGCGCCGTCCCTCAGCTCTTTCACTCAAGGCTGGCGCTCTACCCCTTGAGCCACAGCGCCATTTCTGGTTTTCTGGTGGTTCATGGGAGATCAGGGTCTCAGGGACTTTCCTGCCGGGGCTGGCCTTGAACCTGGATCCTCAGATCTCAGCCTCCTGAGTGGCTGGGATGCCAGGCGGGAGCCACCGGCGCCTGGCTTGGTATTTCACGGTGAACATACCATTTGTTTGTGATCCAAGGCACGGATTTCATTTTGTTTCAATTTCTAGCATTTTCCAGGGTTCAAGCCTCGGTGTCTTTCTGACACAGATTTTTCTCAGCTTTCAGTGTTTTGTGTGTTTTTTTTTGGGGGGGGGAAGACATTTCTACCCCTCCCCCTTTTTTGAGGTACCTGGTCTTGAACTTGGGGTTCATCGCTTGCTAGACAGGCGCTCTACCACTTGAGCCACGTCTCCAGTCCCCTTTCTAATCTACTGCACCACATACCCCCCCCCCCAGACTTTCTAATCCTTCTATACCCCTCTCTCCACTCATCTGCTTTTTCTTCTGTAACATTGGACTGGGACCAAGTTGGAATCAGAAAATAGTATGAAGAATAAACACTCCACATACTTGGGTTGTTGGGTTTTTTCTTTAAATTTTCCCCCTCAAGTTCCGTGTTTACTTGGAGGAAGTTTGATCTGGTGAGTGTATGCACACTCATTGGAGGTGGCCCGAGTGTGTGTGGTAGCTCTGTGTGTGTGTGTAAACTCAGAATAGATCGGGAGGCTGCAGCCCTGGGCCAGGCGTCTGGAGCCGGTGAAGGTTGGCTGTGCCCAGCTGTTTGCAGCTGTGAGCCATTGAGAACGCTTTTCTTTACGAGGAAGAGAAAAAAAAACAACCTGTAGCTTTGAATCCCAGCAACACGTTTACACCCAAGAACGGGGTGCGGTGAGGGGTGCTCGTGCTTCTGTGCTGTTCCCGGCTTGTTCTGGCTTTTCTAGATACATCCCTCGCCGAGATTTTACTATGCTACCGATGGGTTTCATTCCTTCGTGCCGGTCCTTGGATTCGAACTCGGGGCCTTGTGGTCTCTTGCTTGGCTTTCTCACTCGAGAGGCTGGCGCTCTACCACTTTGAGCCACGGCACCGCTTCTGGTTTTCTGGTGGTTCATGGGAGATCAGAGTCTCACGGACTTTCCTGCCAGGGCTGGCCTTGAACCGCGATCCTCCGATCTCAGCCTCCTGAGTGGCTGGGACGGCAGGCGTGTGCTGCAGGAGAGCTCCTGGCGGGGTCAGAGCCCCACGGGGAGCAAGCCCAGGCCTTTATCTTCCCTACGGTGCTCCCTGCCCTCCTCCACCTCATATCTCCACCCATGTCTGTCTGTCTGTCTCTGCCAGGCTCTTACTGGAATAGTTGAAGCACAGCTTCAAGTTTCTCCTTGAACTCCAGGGAGAAAACGACCTCAGGATGGGGGGTGGGGGGGGGTGGACTCTCTCCAGTGGTGGAGATTGGAGTTGACATTATCTAGAAATAACACGGGTGAAGGGAGATTTCACGCTGGGGCGGGAAGGAGCAAGGAAGACACCCCCCCCCACCCCCCCCCCCCAAAAAAAACCACCAACCAGGAGACTTTTCTGCGTTTCCTTTCCTTGAACTCGGATCCTGGCCGCCGTCCCTGGGCTTTTTTTTCTTTTCCCCACAACTCAAGGCTGGTGCTCTACCACTTGAGCCACGGCTCCACTCCCAGCTTTTGGATGCTCAGTTGGAGATGAGAGTTACAGACTTCCCTGACCAGGCTGCCTTGGAACCTCGATCCTCCGATCTCAGCCTCCCGGGAGTGGCTAGGATGAGCCCCCCCCCCCCCCCAGGATGATTCCCCCCCAAACTCCACCAGCCATGCCTGGGTGGTTGGTTGGTTTTAAACCACCGCCATGTTGTTCTCTAGGGTATAAAATGGTCTACTACCTGAGTGTTTACAGAATGCTTATTTATTTGAATATTCTACTTACTGAATATTTTCATAGTCTATTATTAGGCGCTCCGTTATTCGAACGCAAGAAATGTGTCTTCCGTCGGTCAGACACACGGGCAACGTTTTTTTCTTGGGAGAGGCGCTGGCTGTGTGTTTCTGGGGTGCCCGCGCTTCATTGGGTGTGACCTGGATTCTGGACATGGGGTAATTAGTCCATTGGATATGAAGGTGTTTTGTTCAGGGCGAGGGCGGAAGGTATTGCTGGAGCTTTCTTGTGCCTGTAACCGATTCTTGTGCAGTAGGACGCCTTGGAGCTCCGGCCTGTCATCCCAGAGACTCAGGAGGCTGAGATCGGAGGATCACCGTTCAAGGCCAGCCCAGGCAGGAAAGTCGGTGAGACTCTGATCTCCTAATGAACCACCAGAAAACTGGAAGTGGTGCTGTGGCTCAAGTGGTAGAGCACCAGCCTTGAGTGAAAGAGCTCAGGGACAGCGCCCAGGCCCTGAGTTCAAAACCTACAACCACACACACACACACACACACACATGCGCACACACACGCACGCACACACATGCACACACACACATGCGCACACGCACGCACACACACGCACGCACACGCACACACACGCATGCATGCACGCACACACAGGCACACGCACACACACAGGCACACACACACAGGCACACACACATAGGCACACACACACACACACAGGCACACACACACACAGGCACACACACAGGCACACACACACACACACAGGCACACGCACACACAGGCACACGCACACACAGGCACACACACACACAGGCACACGCACACACACAGGCACACGCACACACACACAGGCACACACACATACAGGCACACACACACAGGCACACACACACATACACACACACACAGGCACACACACACACAGGCACACGCACACACACAGGCACACGCACACACACAGGCACACACACACACAGGCACACGCACACACACAGGCACACGCACACACACAGGCACACACACACAGGCACACACACACAGGCACACACACACACAGGCACACGCACACACACACAGGCACACACACAGGCACACGCACACACACACAGGCACACACACACACGCACAGGCACACACACACACACACACAGGCACACGCACACACAG